TACATTTGAAGGAACGTAGTGATTAGGGTTGAAAGAAAACCAGACGCACACTTGGAGTTAGAACTCTAGGGGATATTTTATTGCTAATATTTATGATCACATGCCTATTCAATGGTGTTCTAGTCCCAGACTTGTCATCATTTCTCATGGTCCCTATTGCAGTATGATTCAGAGATTGTTGCAATGATTAAAGAACTGTTGGAAACTCGTATCCGACCTGCAGTACAAGATGACGGTGGAGATATTGAGTACCGGGGATTTGATCCGTAGGTTTCTTCCATCAAATACTTTTTAAATGCTGAAGACTGAATTGAATAATTTCTTTATTTGTGATGCAACATAATTGAATTCTTATGCACATTTTGCTTTCCTCAGAGATACAGGAATAGTCAAACTTAGAATGCAAGGAGCATGCAGCGGCTTCCCTAGCTCATCTGTTACTCTGAAATCTGGCATTGAGAACATGCTGATGCATTATGTGCCTGAGGTAACAGTCATTATTTAGGTTCTTGCTGTTTATGATTGTAGTCTGACACTTAAAAGTAGGATGGATGGAGAGAGATCATAAACTTGGATATAATCACGAGGATAGGTTGTCTGAACGGTTTTCCCTGAAATTATGATATATTTACGTCATGTGTTCTATGATTTGTTGAGTTAAACTCACACTGCCTATGATATATTTACGTCATGTGTTCTAGAGTATGTGGCGTACCATACTCCCATTCCCGTTCCATGTACTGGACGATCTACGTTCCAGGTAACATATGTCATCCATGACTTGGGTGACTGATTGTTCAATCTGCATTTGTAGAAAGAAATGGAACGATTAATGTTGGATCTGTATGTGTTGTATTTTTTTTGTTCTCTCAAATATTTTCTTGTATTAATGTAAGATTAGTGTATATGTCTTCTGATTTTTTTCCCTGAATAATATCTGTTTGTATGATTTCTAGATGACTGTTTCTTGTTGTGCATAACTGGTTCTAGATGATTTTTGATCTTAACTTCAGCATTTATGATTTGGGGAATTTCAAATTTGGTCTTTTCGAACGCCAACTCTGTAAATTTCTTCAAATGTTAACCTTCTTACAGCTTTTGGTTTTATTTTGTAAAGAAAACCTTCAACACCACCACTATTGATATTTATCCAAAAAAAAAAAAAAAAAAAAAATCTGTAATAGGATAACCAATATAATTCTTGATTGATTATTACATTCCATTTTGATTTTGGTGTGAATATACTAGTAATAGTCAGCCTGGCCAGACAATTTTGCATGAAACGTGCAAACAATTTTGTCAATGCTATGCTTGTGACTAAAACATTATGCATAAATGCTGACAAAAGGCAAATAGTAAAAAATTCCGTGCATGTTTCTTGGTAAGGTGTTGCTATTATTTGACTAAAATCTTTGCTATGCCCTTGCTAGTGGTCACTCTCTTGTGACTGAAGAATATGTTTCTTTTCCAGTTACTAGTAGAGTAGCTTTTGGGGAAGACATACCTATGGCTTTAAGGAAACTCTTAGCTAAACTATTGCATTATTCTCTTGCTACCTTACTCAAATGGTTAAACTACATCCAATATATGTATATATATATATATATATTTTCTGTACGAGAAGTGAACTAACTAAGTGATTAATATCAGTCCTCAAAAACACTAAATTAAGATAGTATTTTTTAAAAAGATGCAAGTTCTAGAGTCCCCTTTTTTTTGTTTTTCCTTCCATATGTTGAAGCCTTGCTCTAATAATTTTCTCTGTTTTCCATCTTTCCATTGTTTTAATTGCTGTGAATTCTGATAAAAATTCTGTTTGTTTTATTTGCTTTTTCACTCGATTAGATCTCAAGTTTGAGACTCGAGTTTTCATTTCTTTTACAGCGGGTCCATATTTTCAGTCTTGTGCCTTTATGTTACATTAGCAAGTTCACATTGGTGATTTCAATTCATTTGTGTTGGTTGGACTATCAAGTTTTGAATTACACGGCAGTTTCTCTGATCTTTCATTTTAGTTCGCCTTACTGGAACTTCCCGTGCAGGTTAAAGCGGTGGAGCAGGAACTTGATGATGAAGATGAAGCAGCAACATTACCTGGTTAGATCGAGTAATTGAATATTTTCTCTTGTTTTATGAGCTACTTCCAGATATAATGAGCTTGATGACTACGAGTAAGTGACCCTTCTTCAGAAAAGCGAGCGGAGTGTATTAATCAGGGTACTGTGTTCTGTTAAAAAATAAGCGGCTTCCTGTATTTATTTTGGCAAATTTTACCAAATCATTGAGTATAAGCTAATTGCAAGTTTATTTCATGTGGGTATTTCTTGTGACTTTGACTTGAGTTATTTATTTATGGGGCATAATCTCTCTTTACTAATGTTGTATTTAGTTCAAATTATTTTCTTATATTCCAATAAGTTTTATGGGCGACATAGTTATCAAAATACTCTAATAATAATATTCATGTTGATAGTGTCGATGTTTTGTGGTGTGGATGTTCACACTGTTAATGCACATCACCAAGTTGCTGAGCATTCAAAAAATAGTTGTAAGGGTAAAATTATTTATAAAATACTTTCAATATGAGAATTAAGGCCTCGTTTGGCATAACCTATATAATCTATCTTTTTATCTTTTTTTCATCACATCACTTCTCTACTTTTCTGCACATCTTTTCGTAAAAAGACAAAAAGTGCACTTTTTTAGGACATCCCAAACTAACCCTAAGATTTGGTGAATCAATTGTCCAAATAATAGGACTTATTGAAATATAAGAATATATTATGGATTAATGGGATATAAGTTCTTGAAAAAAGATTTCTTAATAAATTCTCTTTATTTATTGATTTTTATTATTATTTATTATTATTATTATTTGGATAGGGAATTGGTATCCAAGTTTGTCTGGGATTGTATAGTAATTTTTTGGATAAATTACAAATATACCTTTTAAGATTTGCTTAAAATACGAATTGTTTTTTGTGATTTAAAAAATTACAAATATTTTTTTGCCAGAAATTTTTTATTTAACAAAATTAAAAAAATAAAATTTCTAATTGTTTTCTTATATAATTATAAAATTATTTAAATTATTAATTAAAATATATTTATAATATTATTAAAAACTGTTAATTGATTTGATAATTTATTAATAGAATGAATTATTTGTTATAAGATTATAAATTTCAAGGGATGTTGAATTATAGGGAGTAATTTTATTTTAAATAAATTTTAGAAGATATATTTTTAATTTTTTTTAGTTGAATTTATTTTTTTATTTTTATAGTTCTAATTTGATAATACCTAAAAGTAATAATTTTAATACAAAACAAAACTACTTGAAAAAGAAATCGGCAAAGGCAACGAATTGCCATTTTTGTCGCGATGTATGTTATGGAGTGTTATGGAGGTTCAATACTGATTTGACACTTTGATGGGGATACAAAGCTGGGTCGGATCTGATTTTAGTTTGAATTAAAAAGCTTAGTTTGAGAAGGATTTTTTGACTTTTTAATTTTTTAATTTTTTTTATAAAAAAATATAATAATTATGAATTAAATATAATATTTTATTTATTATGATTAAAATAATTTATTTTATTTTTTATGACTATTTTAACATCAAAATCACTTGCCACCTGAAAAAGAAATCGGCAAAGCCGATGCATTGCCATTTTTGCGATGTATGGTAGGGAGGTTCAATACTGATTTGACGGGGATTCAAAGCTGGGTCTGAGCTTTCTTTTAGGTCAAATCAAAGGTGGGTAGGTTTCTTGTGATAATTTAAATTATTTATATAAGGAATTAAGGCCAAGTTTAACATTCTCAAAAAAATTTAAAAAGTCAAAAAGTCACTATTCTATTTAAGTCACATCATCACATCACCTCTCTAACACATCACTTTAAACCCAACCCAAATCCAATTCATATTTCATAAAAAGTCAAAAAGTACACTTATTTAGTCTTTCCAAACTTTGCTTAAATTATTTTTTTAGGAATGCTGGTGGTGAATGAATCACCCGCTGAGTTGAGGAGCTATCTGTTGACAGATCTGTTAGGAATTCCAAGGGAAAGGGCCTAGCTTCCCTCTGCATTTTTCTTTCTTTCCGATGTAACAAAAAAAATATATATATAAAAAATTAAATTGATTTGATAAATATAATTTGTTTAATTAATTGTTTTTTTAACGATAAACATTATAAATTGAACAAATTATTATTATCGAATTGATTTATTTTTTTTATAAATAATATATATATAAGTTTTACAAAATAAATAATTTGAATTATCGACATGAGATTTGCGGTAGATAACAAAGAACGTGAACGACGGATTCAAAGTAGGTGTTGTGCCTTGTGGCACAACATGCATGTTGTGAGACCCTTTTGGAGTGTGTTTTGAGTCTATTTTCATAATTTAAACAATTCATATTGTTAAATGTAAACTTTATCTCCACTCCGCTTACTCCACCTACACCACTTCATCTACTCTACTCTACCTACTCTACCACACCTACTCTCCACACACATCTCCTATAAAGGAGACCAACATGTACATCAATAATATCAATCAATATACATACAATTTATTTTCTCTTTCTCTATACATTGACTTTAACATGGTATTAGAGCAGGTTTAGAACCTAGTATTTTCGCTTCACCGGCGGACAGCAACCTCGCCTTAGCCGCCCGTCGGACCTCAACTTATTCCACTGTCATCTCTATCAATACATATAGCTTCGAGTTCTTCGCCGCCACTGGAGGTGACTTCTCCACATACGCACTGGCTTTTCGTTATCTTTCCAAATACAGATCCCTAAACGATTGGCCAAATGAGCGAAGATTTCCACTGTTTCTTTAGCAAATCTTTGCTACTTAGACCAAGGGTAATGCATCTAGTGTCATCATATTATGCAATCGATCAACCAACTTTATAAGGACAGCCCTTGCATCAGCCATTGCAAAGAACATAGTGTGCAGGCGATCTGCCTCAGCAGTTTTACTTGCCGTATTGTTGTCTCATGCAAGCTTGCTCAAATGACTTAGCTTGGATACCCCTTTAACCAAATCAGCAACCCCAACTCCAAATGTCTGGAAAATAGAGTCATAACTCATAGAAGAATCATCAAGTGTGTCATGTAAAAGCCCTGCAGCAACTACAGTTGAATTTGCCCCTGCCAAATCAACTCAAATGGCTCATACACTTTTCCAACCTCCCTCTTCGTGAGATCATACGCTGTAGATCAGTCTGCAAGTTCTTCAATCAAACCCTCACCTCACCTTCCTTCACCTCATCTCCACCCAAGCCCCTCCCATCCGCCTCCTCTCTTGAAGAATGTTGGGGAGGACGTGGCGGCTATGAGGAGAGCCTTTCAACAGCTTGGGCGACCCCATGGGAATTGAGCTACCTACAACAATTTTCAATTATCCTTTGCATCGTACCAGTCTGCAAACCCATGTTACTCACTATTTATTTATTTATTTTTTATTCTATTACTCCTGACACCGTTTTCAATGGCGCTGTTACTCTCCATC